TGTAAATTCCAGATTTGTATAAAAGAATCACTAACATACTAAGCTAGAAGTAGGTATTGSTATTGGGGAAAAGCCCAAATAGTTGTCAGATACACAATACTAAGCATTAACAGTGCTACAGAGGCATTTCTCCTCAATCTAGAAATCTGTATTCTGCAGGAGAAGAGAACTGGAGAGAAAATAAAAGCATGTGATGATATTGTTTCAGAGRTTTATGTCTGCCTGGTTTGAATAGCAAAAAACCTTCTTCAGAGGAATCCATTATATCAGCCACAGCACACGAACATCTGCTGGGAGAACTGTGTCAAAGGGCCTGAGCACATTAACTGTTTAACACAGAACAGTTCTTCAGATGTCAGCTAAAATAAATTGTTCCATGATTTATGATCAGCACAAAAATGATCAAGCTTCCCTCTTAAGTGCACTCACTAGAAGTACAAACTAATGGCGAATTAAAAGAAGTAAAGACTTCCAACAGGTGCAGACTCCAGAGGTTTACATTCATTAAAAGCTCTTTCTGCTTCATCAAGTAGAATAATAAGTATTTTCTGGGTTACAGGAAATCAAGTATTAATGCTACACAAGCATAAATCTACCTAGAAGGAGTGATTACTTGCTTATTTGATATGCATGTTTTGTTTGGCAAGCTTCCCTTCTCTGGGGATTAATCAGGGAACACAATTCATCCTCATGAGGTGGAGGGAGGCGGGGCCAGAGCATGACGTGTGCCCACACCTATTTGTTGCTGAGTTTTAAAGAYAGCATTTAGAAGTTAAAAATTAAAAGAAACTCTACATGATGCGCCTCACATGGAATATCCCCACAGAAATCCTGCTGCACTCAGCTAAAGTCCTATTACCTCCTAATTGCTTCAATAKCCTTCTTTTACAACAGACAAGAGCTCCTGGTTTGGGTAGGTGGCCCTGCAGTCAGCTGTGCCACTGTACAAATCCTGCTCACAGGATATGTATGAAGTTAATATTTCTTAGTGAGCACATTTTCAATCTTGTAATTGAAGTACAGGACTAAGTGTGTGATCACAAAAATAGCTCTTGAAAAGATTAACCTGCCTCCATGGGCTGACTTGCTCTGGCATAAAAGCATTCCCCCACGGAGCAGAGCATGACAGCTATCCTTACCTAAAGTGGCATCACTATCTTCTTTCACTTCAGGTTCAGACAGYTCCCAATAGCCCCTCACCTCCAAACAAATTCTTTTCCTATTTCTGAGAGGTAGTCATCTCATCATTTCCTTCCCTTAACACCTTTACATTTTTGTTGTATAATTCCTTATYTTTGACAGAGAAGAAGTCTAATTCTGTCTCTTGATCCCTAATTTTCCAAACCTGTCCATGTCAMAGCAGGGTTATGAACGTGGGTTGACTGCTGAGCTTTGGAGTGTACCAGTAACCCCACCATGTAGAATACAAGAAATCAGATGAACCAGTAGACACAGAAACCAAACCAAGCTTATATTTACAACACCCATCACAATTAATATCTAGATAAGACTTACAGAAACTCAAAGGTACAGACCAGGGAAAAGGTACTTTGTACGTAGCAAGTAACAACATAAACCCCACAGAAACATAAAAAAGGCAGGAAAAAAAAGCCAYGAATAGAACATGCATCATTTTGTTGTTCTGCCAGTGGCTGTGTGACAAATCGGCCCTTTTCCCTCCCTCGAGGCACTGTAACCCAGGGGAACAGGAACCCATGCTCAGAGAGCAGCAGTGGTCCTTCCCTGAGCACCAGCTCTTCATGCTGTTAAYGTCAAGAGAGTGCTCCTGAGGAAGAATGACCTGGTGCAATGCTCACCACGACTACAACTGCATCTGTAGAGCAAAGAAGGAGGCAGGACACAAGGCCTGAAGTCTTATAGGAAGGCGGAAGCCACCTTTCTTGTCAGCAGCAGCAAAGCATAGGGTTAAGGAGCAAAGCCACTCTTCAGAAAACCCCAACACAAAAGTGTCAGCTACATCAAGGACTCAGGAAAAGTAAGGGAGACAAGTTACTTCCCCCACAGGCATTCTCAAGGTACCAACAGACTGTGCTGTGCACCTGTTGTTGAGCATATCCATATCACCATATAGGTGATTTCCTATATAGGAAAGAAGTATTCTGCATCCGGTCTTAGCAAAACAAGATAAAAACGCTGTTAAAATTAAGTAAAAAAAAAAACCCAAAACCTTAACAACAAAACAATTTAGTTGTTTAGTTATTTTAGATGTCTTTTACATGGCCTAAGCAGATCATACAGGTTTCTGACTTCCCTATTTTACTTCCCCATTTGGTAGAAGGTGGTCTGCCAGATTTCCATGACAATGTACACCTGTGGAGGAGAGGCTGCRAATATGTGCCATACTGAAACAAAAGATGAACTGAAGACAAACAAGCCAAAAGTCAGCACATATACACACACTAGGASCTTGTGCCTTCCCGGCACCCAAATATAAACACCTCTAGAAACATCACGTTTATCCAGGCAGGCACCCAGGAAATTTGTTATCTCAACTGCCAAGACGTGACCGGAGCTGGCCCGGCCTGCGCTGCCCGGGCCCGGTGAGAGGAACCGAGAGGCCTCGCCCAAGGAGCGCCCAGGAGGCCCAAACTCCCGGGGCCACACTCCAGCCCAAGCCGCSCCGCGGAGCTCGGAGCAGGGGGAGCCCAGCTCAGCTCAGCCGGGGGAGACGGGAGCTGTGCGGGCCCTGCCGGGGAGCTCCCGGGMACGTCCCCGGGCGATAAGGCGGGCAGAGAAAACCCCTCGGCCGGCAGCGAGGAGAGGCGACAGGCGGCCCCACCCGCCGGGGCAGCCCCGAGCGGYACCGCTCGGCCCCAGCCGGCCCGGCAGCGCGGCCCCGTCCTTACCGGCGGGAGCAGCAGGGCCCAGAGCGCGGCCCACAGCAGCCCGACCACCCCCATCGTCCTCCGCCGGCTGCTCGGGGAGGGGCCTTGCCGGGCTCGGGCTCCGTACGCCCCCGCGGACCCTTTCACCGGCTCCCGGCGCGGCGCCTCTTCCTCTTCCGTCCGCCGCTCCGCCGGCCCGGTCCCGGGACACCGCGGGCGCGGGGCGGCGCTCCCGGCGGGGCGGCGCTGCGGGAACCGGGCGGGTGCGGGGGCTGCGCGTCCCCGCCTCCGGGTGTCTTTGTGCCTCTGTGTTCTTTCGCTGCGGTTTGCAGGGCTCAGTGGCTGTCAGCGCGTCGGGCTATTCACCCAGCAGCTCCCAGTGTTTTAGGTTCTGATGGGCTCACTGAAATCCTCAGAGCCCTTACAAGTAAAAAGAAACGACGGCGTTTGCCCCGCTTCTCCCGACACAAAGCAATGCGAGTGTTTTGCCTCGGCCCAGCTCTCGCAGAGCCATGGGAGAGAGGTGTGGTGAGGTGAGGACAGCAGGATGTCTACGTGAGAGCAAYAAGTAACAAGAAACAGCTGAGTGTGACCTATAACACAAGGTTGAGGTAGTTGTGTTGTTTGCTCTTAAAAGAAAACCCTCAAACAAGCGCATTTCAGAAACGAAAGTATTAAAAGGGCTGTGATGTAAGAACCAGCAATGATTTGCATGCAGGAAGGAGATGGGCTCGAACAGCTCCGTGATTTACCAGCAAAGGAAGTTGTGCAACCTTTTTCTTTTTTCACTGGAGGTTTTCCAGCACTGTTTCCGCGGTGCCTCCCTGCCTTTCCTGGAACCTGCCGAAGGGCCAGCGTGCAGAGGGAAGCGGAGGGAGTGAGGCCAAGAAAGATTGCTGTAGAAAGAAGGGAATGGGGCCATGACTGAGACGGCGGAGGCGTGAGGGAAAAGGAGGGGCAAGGGGATGAGAGTTGAGCCTCACTTCAGCATCAGTAAATCAAAGCCCCAAGTGGGTAACCCACTTAGTTTGTTACTTATTACTACTGAGGAAGGAGATTCCTGCACGCATGTTTTTTTGGTTTTTCCTTCTCCGTGCACTTAAGGACAATATAATATATATAGAACCTCTATAGAGAACATTCCCCCTGCATAATGGCAAATTGACAGGAAGCTGTTCTGTTGCTGTAAAAATCTGAGTAACWTTTACATGTCTGTACATAAGTAGTGTTTTGATCAATACCCMTATTTTGATGGTGACAGACAGGCTTTTTATTTCGTTCAGTGACAAATCTGCAATTCATCATATCAKCGACGCAACAGGCTTATGCATCTCRTACAATTGTTGAGCTGCAAAAGTGTGTCTAACGATTTMATGTGCTAAACAGTTAACCAGATMATGGTGCRCTATGACACAGCTAATAATTCATGTTCTATGCAGAATTSGTATTAAAAAAACCAAGCTAGTACACTGTCCATCTGTGTGTTTCTATTTTGGTGCTGTTGTCAGAGTAACCATGATACTTTACGCCAACTACTATCCCTTCTTTTGAGTCTTAYAAGATCTGGATGACAAATGAATACTGATTTATTTCAATAGATCTGCCAGTTCTCTGATCTGTAATGAGCTATGGGTATGTACGTGACACTGTATTTTGGGCATGGAAGAACTCTTTAATTTRAATTGCAAGAGCATTGCTGCTCCCAGATCAGATTCCATGGAGGCACGTCCTGTCCTGCCACATACTGATCCTTCTTGTGCTCCCCAGGAAAACACAGCAGTTTTTATTCTGTCTGCAGCTGAAAATAAAARTGGGCCAAGGAGAAAGGAGTACATTTTCCTCTGAATAAAAGGAAATTGCACTCTCAAAAAGTGTATGCTTGATGTCACTGCCTTGATGGTTGTTCAAAGATTTTGTGAAACATCTTTTACACTAAACACGTGTTCTGCAGTCCACTGGGACTATGTGGGTTAGAAATACCTGCACTGAAAAGCCCACATTTAGGATATCAGTGAAAACTTCTTAGGTAATCTTTATTGGCAACTTATTCAATAGTCCCTAATTTTTACCATTAGCTTCAATATGTAAGCAAAACTAAAAACATGATCTCTTCTCAAATTTCAGCACTGAGAAAAACTGATATGATGAACAAAATCATACATGTGGTTTCCAATGCCAGGCAGAAAAAATCTAGGCTATAAAGACATTCAGAGCTTGAAGAATTACTTCAAAGCCTAAAGAATCCTTCTCTCTTTTTTTCCAGTTTAAAACCTAAAATTCCTTATTTGCAMTGAACAATGTAGCCTCTACTCATAACCAGTGTAAGGTACTAAAGATCTGTACTGAGAATTGTACCTGAAGAGCAACACCAGTCTCAGACAAACGCCTTTCTCAACCAAAACAWCAGCGAGGAATAAAATCTGTAACTCAACTCAGGCATTCCTAAAGCATTATGGAATGGAGATGCTTAATGTAGGCATTGACGACTTTAGTTAGAAAGTGAAAACTGAATCTAAATAACAATTAGCACAGAAAATAACTGCTTGAAAAATACTATGCATATATTGAAATCCTTTTCATGAGAATGATGTAATTATCCTTTYCTTCCTTCTCTTGTTTTCCACTAACTTCTAAACTAATGATTTCACTCACAAGGAAAGAAATCCACAATATCTTCTATTCCAGGGCTGTTCTCTCTATTTGCAATTCTAACACTAACATTGCATTGAGTGCTAATTTTTGTTTTTTTCATAATAATCAGCCTCTTGGCTTTTCAGTAAACTTATCCCAACTAACCTACCTTTTTCTATTCCTTTCCCTGTATCTCTTTATGCAATTGAATTTGTGCTTCCAATAGCTTAAATTTGAATTATTGTCTAATTCTGTGAATTTTGCATAAAATGCCACAAACAGAAGGTAGTTCCTTTCTAGGTACGCAGACGTGAATGGGCAGCTATCAGCAACAGGTATTTTAGAGAAACAGTGCATAATTTTGAGACAGGTAAGATTGCAAAAGTGAMTTTGCTTAGCAAAGAGTTATGTCAGTTGTGTCACACAAGAATAAGGACAGAGGGGATTTGAGGTTCATTAATCAATACACARGCTTCAAAAGGATGAAGGAATTTTTAACATGTTATATTAATTTCTAAGAACTAAGAAAAAACATGCACCCAAAATGCTGCATGTATTTCTAAGAAATTTGGTAGGCAGTAGAGTAATAGGACAGAATAAAGCAGGTGATGAGGAAAAGGAAATAGCTTAACCAAAAAATATTTTACTCCATCTTTTAAATTCTTTTCAGTACTTCATATTTTCACAGCTTTTTGTCTGGAGTGTGGAACAGAACAGCAAAATAATGCTGTGAAACCTCTTGATTAAATGGGTACAAGAAACRCTGTTGCTGAAACCTGCTGTCTCTGTGAGACAGGCACACACAGCAGCGATAGGGACATGCACAATAATCTGATGGGATCTGCATCTCCTGACAAGAGAGTGATCCAAAACATAGAAAGGACAGTGTTTAAGAAGTATTTATTAATACAAGCACATGTCTAGCAACTTTTCCCCATCTACCAACAGCCTTCTCTGAACACCAGTACATATGAATTTCTGCAAGGAAGAGATACTGTAGTTCACTGAATATTATGCAGCAGACAGAATAACTAATTTAAATGCATTTTCAAGTTTTTAATGWTTAAACTAGTTGAAAGAAACTAGTGAAAGCCTTTCTCATACACCATTATGCAGCAAGGCCACATTAGCATGAATTAATGAGTCACTGTAAACCTTGCTYATGAATTACATTTTTAAGCTTGTATCACACCCTCAAAGGTATTGAGTCAGGTTTTAATATTCCCTGGTGGGTGGCTGCATTTAAAAGGGTACTTCTTTCACCATTAATCTGCAACTTCAGCTCACGTTGAGTCCGGACTTTCAAACTTGCATTTATTAGATCAATTTTTATAAAATAGTTTTCTGACTAGAATAAGTGCCATTGTTTTGTCAGATCTATGAATCCTTAATTACACACAGCTCACTAATTACTGGTTATTAGGACAGCTTTCATTCACCTTTAGACTCAGGTCAAGCAAGTTATGTAAAATGTATTTCTTAAGCAACCAGCAAGACCAGATGCATGTAAATACACTATTATATATAAAATAAAAATAGYCCTGTAACCAAATACTTTTTCTAGTTCTTTGATGAAGAAATAGGAAATTATTTAGTCATCCACTTGTTAAGGCCAAAGTCAATGTCAATATTCTCTCCTGGTAATTTAAACACAGATTTTAAGTATATTTTTAAAAAAATTGAGTAAGCCAGAGCAATCATACTAATTTCAGTTTAAAAGAATGGCTTATTTCCTTGCATATTACTTAAGATCAAGGTCTAAATATATGCATATATATTAAAAACTATATATTAAAACAGTAAAAGACATAATTCAATTTTTCTCTTTTTGCCCTTGAATTAGGGTGGACCCTTTGTAATAATAACCTTGGTTTTGTTCAGTTTGGATTCATATGCAAATATCAGAGAAAACTTAAAATYTGTTAGAATTTTCTTCCCATTCACATAAATGACAACAAAAAAATAAAGGATTCACTGAATAAAGTAGTTTCAATACARTTTTGTGGCCTTCATTTAATGAGTGATTTATTATAGAGGTCTCAACAAGCACCTCAACAAGTCTCAACAAGATGTTGTTCTTGTCCAGCTGTCACTACTCTTTTAGATTAAAACTATGTTAAGGGAACTTCCATTTGAACTAAGGTTTTGGGTATATTTTAGGATATTGGTCATGCTAAYGGGATGCACAAAAATGGGATGTATGGAACAAGTGACATCCACAAGGTGTTCAGTAGCCATAGTGCAACGCTTGATAAGCTGGGTTTGGCAGTGCAGTGGCCAAAGCAGACCATGCTGTAGGTGCCCTGTACACTCCACACAGGTTTTTGTTATGAGCTTGCTCATCTCTAAGCTCCCAGGTGAAGACAGCAGCTGTAGTTCAGTATCAATTACCTCCTCAAGTCGGGAGGTTTTTGGCACAAGAACATATACTAGTAACATTCCTGTCAACTCAAAGTGCTTTCACTATTTTGTTTCATCTTTCCATCTTCTACATAACAGCAGGAGAAAAAATATTGACGGAAATCTATTGCAGACATAATGACTGGCATCTCAGTCTGCAGAGAGTCCAACAAACTATCACCCAAATTTCCTCAGGTACAAGGAAATCTTCATGACCTTACACTCCAACCTGTCCATATCCTCTCAACAACTGGAATGTGAATATCAGATGGATCATTAGTTTCCCTGAAGTGCAAGGGACCAAAGGCAGATACACTTTTACTACTGCTATTTTGTATTAACACTAGGTTTCATTTGGTTTGTATTCCATTGGGTGCAGCAAGCCTCAGCATTTAGAACATCTGCAACCTCACATATAGCAGAAAAAAAATAAAAAAACCAAAAGCCCTCTTGTCTCCCAAATATATTTGTGACATCAGTCTACAACTGCTGAAACYAGAGGTACATTTCTGGATGGCTCTGTACTCTCTGAAAACAGCTTTGTAAACCACTGCAGGAAGAGGTTACTGCCATTCATTAAAATTATATTGGCAATCTGTGTCTCAAAGTCCCAGTTTAGTCATGCATTTAAGTGCCTAATTTCCTCCCTATACCAATTATGCAGATATTATGGGTATTTTCCAATTGATATCAAAGCTGTCTTGTGCACTGCAGATAAGAAATGTCAACATGAGCATGTTCTGCTCCCTGCTCCTTCCTCGTAAGTGTACACCATATTGCCTTTCTGTGGCTAAATCTCCCTCACTTCCATGGCTCATTTTATTTTCTAGTTCCTGATCAGCCTGTAGCCTCTTCAACACTTTCCCTCCAGTAGGAAGAGTTGAGCAATAACAAGGGGGCTTAATGCTTTCTCATAGAAAAGTACAAAACTGGCTTGGAGCTCTGTGTGATGACAAGTTTAAGTAACWCCAGAGTTTAAAGATCTGTTGAGGAAACAACTGTCCAACGGGCCAGTTCTTAGACAGGACCCATTCTGTACAGGACAAGAAACCTTTTACATATACACTGTAGTCACACAAATATTAGTAGGAAAACTACTAATGTAAGTACCTTGAGKCTTCTGTGTCAGACAAATTACTGTGTATGAAGAAAGGACAGTTCATCTGAAGAAGCCCAGGCACCACTTACACAATCTCCTTAGGCACTCAGCACTTCACCTTTATAAGTAAGCAGCTAAAATTTTGAATTTCAGTCATTAACCACTAAGTCTCTGAAAGCGTTACAGGAACCTACTCACCAGGTGATCTCTTCACACCCCTGTAAAACAGCACTGTTTTCTTCCTGTAGTTCCGCAGCGATTATGAAAGGCAGACAAGACCATTCYTATCTTCAATGTTGGGTTTTCATGGCAGTGTCACAGTGCTGACAGCAAAGTAAATCCAAGCATGGTCAGGAGCAGCCATGTAATTGTCTTTCACTGACAGATTGGAGTGTTTTTTTCAGTGGTACCATATTTAGTAACATAACGAATTTCATGAGCATGGAATTTAACACTGTTGAATTGTGCTTATTTTTGCTGACATAGTAAGATTAAGAGTATTTATTAATCCCTTAACATTTTTTATCTATACAGAGCGGAAACTACAACAGCATCTGGTAGTCCAATAAGAGCATACGAAAGAATAGTACCACACGTGTTGGTTGCATGCTATCGTATTACAGGTTAACTTGGAGCATAGCACTGACACCACATAATTGGCATTAAGCTGCTCTGCAGAAGGTAAAAAGGTGTATTAGTTTGGGAAGAAGACAAATACCTTTTCTATACACTGACCACAGGTTTTTGCAGCATTATGGGACAGTAAAACCTAACAGGAACATCAAGGGGTAAAACAGCCAGAGTTGAAAATACCTCCCCCTCCCAGATTTTTTTTTCAAGGAAGTAAACAGCGCTGAGACTCTGCCATACTGCCTATAAAACAGTTGATTGTGCTCTGCTTGCAAGTTATTTTACTTATGACTAAAAAAAGAAACCGTAAAATGGCATCAAGTCAGAGCAGTAATGTTTCTTGATTGTCTTGATATGAGGTCTTCACAGCTTGCAATGCAGATTAAAAAGTTTGATCAATTGRTATTATTTCTGTATTTTATCCCAGTCAAGCTCAAAAAACTACCAAACCACCAAACCCCACAATGGAGTAAAAGTTTGCATAAAACAGAGAAGACCTGATGTAAAACTGTGCTCTCTAGTGGAGAAATTTGATTTTGTGCAATAAAAGTTCAAGCCATGCTGATACATCCACTTAACCAACCAATTTTCAGTGCAGAGAAAATATCAAGATTTTCCAGAGTATTAGGAGTGCAAGTCACCAGTTTACCATATTTATTWTAACTAAGATAGGCTCATACCGAATTACATGACAGATTACAGGTACACAAGGTTTCTAAATACAGAACAAAAAATTCCTAAGACCTAAGACAKGTGTTTATGTTAGATTTTTAAAAGTAATGACAGTTTTAATGAAATAGCAAAACATTTCTTTTTCATGATGTTGCTCCTTATTATGGCCCTATATAATACTATAAAGTCTGATGAAAATATGTYAGTTTTACATCAGATAGTGCTGATGGTTTACATGATCAAAACTAGGATTTTTCTCTAAGTAAGTGTTTAATAAAAAAATTCTCAGTTGATTTATTTTTAGAGAGAAGAACTGATCACCAACTCTATTTCTAGTTACACTACTAATCTTAAATCTACTGAAYGGGTCTTCAAGAAACCCTAACTTTTGTTCAGCGTGTTTTCTTACAGTGTTAACAAAACACAACCTATTTTCTTCATGACAACTGCCCTATCACCTTTTTTTCTGGGCAGGTATAGATGACTGAATGCATTAGCTSAGTATAATAGCAGATGAATTAGAATCTATTCTTTCAAACAACTTGGCCACATTATGGTTCCTTAACAGTATACAGGATATAGCTTCCTTAAACTCTATCTTAACTAGGCTGTTAGAGTATGTCTGAAGTTAGAAGACAGAAATATGAAAGACTTGCAAAAGCTAAATGTACAGTTAGCTACACTAATTTTAAAATATATTAAAATTTGGTGTGCATTCTAATTCAAGAGTAAGAATCTAGCAAGACATGGATAATAGATTTCTCTTATGTGGTTAYAGAATGTTATGATCAGCTGTTGACTGTTACAGCAAGTAATACTCCCCCTTCTTTTTTGGCCCTAAAAGATAAAATATGGGGGAGGGGAAAAGCTGTTTGATCATAYACAGAAACACAGAGCTACCTTGCCTAGTATATTCAGAAAAGTAGTCTAAGAAATCAGCCAGAAGCCTAGATTAAAGAAGTATCACAAGCTACAAACAGACTCATACAAGTTAAAAGACTTGCCACTTAGAAWTTTTTTTTTAATGGAAAAAAGTTCATAACTGATCTTCTGCTTAGAGCAACAGAAGAGTTTTSCTGACTTTCAGCATAACTTGTGCTGATATGGCAKCAATTTAAACACTTGTATTTAGTTAATCCCATGACARCAAGCAGATTTCCTAAGTTTCTACACTGGTAGTCATACAGAATTTTTAACTGATGAACAACCGTGAATGATGGAGTAAAAGAAAAACCTAGTTCTGCTTCAGCAGTTTTGTCATATCACTTAATAGAAAGATGAATAAGAACTAAGTAATATACTGTACTTTGAGTGCATCTAAATATTGATGGGTATTTATTTAAATATTTATGAAGCACTGGAACCCTGCAAAATGCTGTTTCCATTTAATATTCTCCCACAACTTTTCACAATATTCTTTAAATGTGTGTCCTTCACATGGCCATATCACTTCAACCACAGGCAAAAAAAAATTAATTTCATATAAAACAGGCAATCTTGAAATTAAGGAACCAGAAAGACAAGCAAGACATCCCTTGAAGTCTTGTGTGATTACTGTTACAGAGAAGTAACAAAGAGAAAGATCTTAAATATGTTTAGTTTAAAATTCAGTGGTAGTCATGCAAAACTAACACATAGTTGTGAGCATATTGTAGCACCACTGGAAGTTAACTGGAAGGTACAATTAGCTGTGTTKCAGTAACAGCTGCCAGTCACACTGGTGTGTGTATGGATGGGAGGCAGCCCAGTCACTGAGAGACACATCTCTTGTTCTAAGCCTCATTTGAGRGTCAGAATGTTTGCAAAAGCTCTATTTTTAGATACAAAAGTGTTATCTTGGTAAGGCAGAAGTTTCATTGTGTTTTGCAGACTCAGCTAACTATCCTACGTTAGAGTTCATTCACCATCAAAAGACAATAAAAAAATACCAAAAATTTATGCATTAGGCTGTAAAGCATCCAAAAAACATGTCCAAAGTTACCTGACAGCTACAAGATCGTACTTAGCAACTCAGTTTAGCCCATGTAAGAGGTGAAAACATGCAATACCTTCCAATTAAATCAACTTCTGCATTTCCTGAGAGGAGAAAAAGACAGACACCAAAATCCCAGACAATTCATACAGACTTTCAATTCCATCTTACATGACAGCTTTGTGAGGTTTTTGGGTCAGCACTAGGAAGTCATCCACAGGGACAAATCACAGTTGCTACCACAATACTCCGTGACAGACCATTTTAAGGATGATTTACAATTACTCCTTCAGAAGATATTGTGCAAAGAACACCAAAGCTTGTACTGACCTATTTATAATTCAGGTACTCTCCCTAGTCCATGATAAAAAGGTTTTTTAGAGAATATGAAAGCACAGTCCAGGGGATCCTCATGAGACAGAGCAGATTCCAGCCTTCTCTCAGTCTCCTATATCTCAACAGTTGCAGAAGTGCCATTTGTGTAGCCACCTTTAGACTTCATGTGGTCCTGAATTGATACAGCCTAGAAAAAAAGGTTATTAGAATATGCATCTCACAAATTCTAGTCGCCAGAGCTATTTTTAAAAGCTTAAATTTGAAAAGGCAGGTGGGCCATATGTTTAAAGTGCTGAGTCCCAAGTGTAGTAGGAAGAAATAACAACTAAATCCAGCACCGTTACATACTATTTTAAGTCAGTGTTTGACATACATTTTGCTATACAAAATCCAGTTATTCTTACATCCCTCACCCTGACACCCCTTTGACTTCAACCAGGTGATCTGATTCTAGTATCAAGTGCATCCATAGAATCTGTATCCAAAAGGTATCATCATATGTAAAGATACTGAGGAGATGAGCAGTTCTTGCTCAATGTATCTCCCACAGTATCTCATRTTTACAAACCAAAAGACAGTTCTGTTTTGATGCTATTCTGCTGACTTTTTTCTAAAAAAAGTTAGAATTTTCTCTCTGTTACAATTTTCTAGTATTTTATTAGCTACAGGTTACTGAGAGGAGATTTGTGCTTTTCCCAGAGGAGCACACTTACTGAGGAGTAGTCACTGCTCATCTCTCTGGCCCCAACGTGCGCRGTGTGTACAAAATTCATTGGCTCTCCTATCATATTCCGGTCCAGCCTCCGACGCCTCTTCTATGAGAAAAAAAGATATCTTAGATCTCTATTCAGAAAACAGCAGCACCTTTCAGCCAGAAACAAGTAGCCAAGATAAAAATAGATARCCAGTACTGACCCCTAATGACGCCTCATGGCAAGTGGGTTGAAGWTTCAGAGTGTTCACAGTAAGACACAATGAAAGTCACTTTTATTACTGCTAATTGAAATTTAGCAAAAAACTTTCTTTAATGTTGGAAAGTCAGGGCCTAAGAACTGTAAACAGTCACATGGTCTAAATTTCTGGCAAAGCACACACAGTTCAAATATAGTTTAACAGAACTGGTTTCAGCTTTTGCATTACATTGCCCCAACTAATCAAAACAGCAGGACAAGGAAAGTGTTTTCCATGYAACTGAAAGACAAAATTTCAAATCAGATAAAGGATGGCAGCTGTGCATCTACCTACCGGCGGGGGCTGTTCACCATTGCACCAATTGAAACAAACCAGGAACTCAGTCATTATATTTCTCAGCAGGTAWTAAGGTCTTGTTACGTGTAATTATTTCTCTGGGAGTTTGAGCTGTACAAGGACCAAGATGCAGCTCCTAGAGTGAGCTTAGAAAGAAAATGCTTGTGCAAGTTCACTGGTAGAGATCACAGAATGCATCTGATAAGTATACCTGCAAAGAGATTAATATTTAAATTTATATCAAAATATATTGAAGTTTTGTAACAKTTATTGAGCAATAAGCAGTTCATAAGACTAAACCAAGACTGTTACATTCTTAAGCATACCTGTAGAGGAGAGAAGCRAAAATTTAAAATCAGTATGTTCATGTCAGAAATCAGAGTTAAGAACCTTCCATGTTTACTCACAGAGAGTAGTGTAAGTTCTTTATAGAAAAAAGAAGCAAACTCCAAAAAGCCCTTAAAAGAGAAGTGTCTTGTATACCAGCAYGAGAAACCATTCATCAGAGTCTGGAGCTTTCCAGAATGCATAAAAATATTCACATAGCAATCCTGAACTGGAGACACAACCAGGAAAGTCACTGATCTAAGTGTCCTGAARCCAGGATACAGCCCAACTTTTAGTAGTTACTGACGTTTTAAAAAAAACATATCTTCCTTCAAATCAAACTTAGGGTTATAGAGTAGCCTTTGAYACAAACTTTTGCATACCTCAGTTCATTAAAATAATATTAYATGTTMATTTAAAGAAAGTTTTGTTATTTTTTTAAGCTTGCAGCCTAACTGAAGCTTCAATAGCCTAACAGAAGCTCCATCAATTCAATCTTTCTGAACCCCCACTAAATCTTTCATAACYAACCAGCATAAGCTTCCTCCTTCATAGGCATTTCTTATGTAGTCCCAGAGTTAYGTAATTAGCACATCTATTTCTTTCACCTTCATGATTTTCTAACACTTCTCACACTAAAAGCAGATTTCTTAAATTTCTGCCATTTATCTTTCAAAGCATTTGTTATGTCTACCACTTTGTTTTAAGTTCTCTATATGATACATTTCTGCAGAATGTGTCTTATATTATTCCAGTTTATCCTAGGTGGTTTTAATACAACTCAGTATCTGCCTCAATTATATTTTTTCATCTCATGCTCTCACAGTGGTCTTTATCACCACCAGAAGGGACAGTGGTCCACAAAACCATAAGAACATGCAGAAGTTAAAGCTTTTCGCTAGCACTTCACATTAGTCGCAGWTTTTCTGGGTTTGCTGCATGCTAATGAGACCATATCAAAGCTGAGATTTTCTTTAAAATCAGAGTGTGTCACCCCACAGAGATAACCTATTTTGAAAACAGACTGACTGAGACGACACCATCCCCACCCCAAAGCAACAGTTGAACGCCTACCGTCCTCCTGCGGTACCCCCCATTTGTCCATCTCCCTCCGTGGGGCTCCGTGCGTACCTCGGTGCTGCTTGCTGCTCCCAGGGAGTCCTGACGGGGTGGTGTGTCCTCATTCAAGCGCTGGCACACACCCAGCTCCCGTCTTGGCAGCTTCAGCACATTTACAGTTCATATTCCTGGGTTATAATTAGTCCTGTTGGCTAAGCAAGAACGCTCCGCTGCACTCCCATGCCCTGCGGCGGTTCCTCTGCTCCGGGAGGTGCTGCACAAGTCTCTTGTGCACTTCACGCGTCCCTACAGGTGTCAGAAACGCAGAGCAGAGACCAAAAATAGAGCCCTGCTTTGGCGTCAGATTTGTGCAGCCGTGCAGTTTTCTCAGCACTCTCCATGCAGCCTGTGGCTCACTTCCACCCCTGCGGCAGCTCTGCAGGTGTCCTGCTGGCACACAGCGTGCTCAACGTCTTCCTGTTGTCTTTTACATCAGAACGTTTCTTTTCCTCTGCATGACTCAGAGAATCATCCCCCAGGACAGGAGTGTTTGTGCCAGGGCATGGRACATCACCTTGTTCCCAGAGACTCAAGGTTTCCACACTAACTGGAATAATTTTAAAAACATATTAACGTTTTCAGGCTCACCCAGGACAAGTAAAAGGCAACAAGAATCCCCAAAYCAAGGAGAAAACAACATTTTGTCACAGTTGGCACACAGACTAGAACGGGACAATATCCTGTTGTTCTTTCCCTCTGTTTTTCACCATGGCAGCAGTATCATCGAGGCGAGGAGACAAAGGGCCTGGGAATGGCTAGCACGCGCAGACACGGATGCTGGATGCGCTGGCAGGATGCACAGCCCTGCTGGAGCCTGGAGCCTTAAAGTGACCCAGAGCTTTGGGAATGTTGAAGTAAACTTTCCTGAGTAACAATCAAAATCTTCAACCACTGCTGTGTATTAAAAAGTATTCAAAACCTTCTTGTRTTTTACTTACAAAATATCAATGGAAAAATATTTGCCTGAATCAAAAATAGTTATCTTTGCATAGAGAAGAGAGACACACAATAATCTTTATAAATAATATCACTAAACATATCTRTTCTTCCCAACTGGCCTTTAGACTCAAGTTCAGATCATGCAAAATGCTTGACTCAAACTGTTAGTGCAGGACAATGAGGGTATAATTACTGTGTATATTGTCACACATCAGGCACAGGCTGCCATCCCACTGCCCCAATTCAGTGTTAAACTGGGATTACTSCAGGGCCCAGTTGTCATTTTCATTCCAGCTCTCTCAATACCGAGTTGATGCTAGAGGCAGTGTATTACAGCCTAAATGCCTTTCTGAAAACCACCTTGCTTCTAATTTTTTCATTATCCCTCCTTTCATTATTTGACATAAACATCATGTTAAAATCTTCAAACAGTCCTATCTTCACATATTTGAAGGACAAGGTGTGGCAAAAGACAGCAAAACTTGTGTTTCAAGTATTAGTTTTGAGCATGAAATTTGAGTGTAACTTGCTTGGTAAAAGGTGAAGAATACAAAACAATTATCAAGAAATTGGAAGAACCTCGGAGCCAAACAGCTAAAGAATTTGGGATGCATTCCTCCAACTACATAATAACACCATTATGTAGCATAAGTGAATATATTGGTCTACCACCCTGGAGCTTCACAGAAAGCTCAGAATAGTTTTATCTGAGCCCTTCAATAATCCAGGTATGTTGCATTTTTAACCTTTTTTTTTTTAACCTAAATTTTAAGGAATTGGGGTGTATTCTATAAGGACATCCTCCTTTCCAAAGCTAAGTAGACACATATATTTAAAAAATAACTCTTCAAACCAACCAACCAAACAAAAACCCACGCATACATAAAACCCCCAAACCACTAAGGCAGTTCTTTCCTTTCAAAGTGAAAATGAGCTAAATTACCTTAATCTCAAAGTGAAAATAAAAATGTATTTTCAACTAAGTGTCSGTTCCCCCTTAAAAAAGAAGAAAAGCCAAGAGACCAAATTATGTGTTCTGTTTGGAAGATAAAAACAACTGCAAAAGAAAGTAACTAAGATTTGCTTGCAGTCTTATCAGGAAAAAAAMMCAGTAAAAATCACACAAAGATGAGAAGGAAGCAAATGCTTGGCAACRCACCCACCGCTGATAACRTAAACATGTTGAAGGGATTAGCTGGCTTATAATTTAYGAAATKTAATGTTACCAGAAAAAAAAAGCTATGATCATAAATTTCCCTTCTTTRCAGAAAGGAAAAAAGCCTTAACAAGAAAAGGTTAAGTTCCTCAGGCACAGCCAAGGAGCAAACACAACCACCAAGGAAAAGCACAAGAAGGAAGAAGGAAAAGCAGGGAGTTGCCCTCATTTAGAGAGGGCTACAGAAGAGAATTTCCCAGTCATTTTTGCAGCGGCCTCCCGAGGCTCCCTCACGTCCCGGCCTGAGGGCACGGCGTGACCTTGACCGCAGCGATGCTCGCGGGGCCGCCGCTCTGCGCGGGGGCGAACGGCAGGGGGCGCCCTGCACACAGCGCGAGCCCGCGGCCTCCTCACGCCGCCGCTCCCTCAGGAGCCTCGCGCGCTCTCACGGGGAGCCATGGCCGGTCCCGGCCCCGGTGTAGCCCCTCACTGCAGAACCGGGCCGGTGTCCGGGGCAGCACCCAGCCGAGCTGCCGACAGGGCCGAGCGCCCACACTGCCGCAGCTCCGCCTTCACGGGGCCTGAGGGGAACGCACGGCTCCGCGCTGCGCCGCGATCGCCGCCTGGGGGCGCCACTCCCCCGCCTTTGCGCCCCCGCGCTTCCCCGGCGCAGAGGCCCTCGAGCGCCCCCCAGCGGCCGCGCTGTAATACCGCAGGGCGTGAGTCAGCGCGTCACAGCCAATCGCCGCGAGCCGYTCGCGTCACGCCTCTTTCTATTGGCTGGACGGCGGAGGAGGCCGCCCAATGGGCGCGGCGGAGCGCCAGGGGAAGGCGCGCGCGCGTGGGCACCGCCCCCCTTTGCGGAGCGCGAGGCGCGGCGCGGACCGGCCCTGCTGCTGCTCTGAGCGACCATGGCGCTGCTCAGCAGTTGACGTTTGGTTTCTCCCCTCTCCACCTTCTCCTCTTTCTCCGACCCCTTYCTCCCCACCCCTGCCCGGGTCCCGGCTCAGGCACGTAGACGGCCGGTACCGGAGACACCGGGTCCCCCCCCGCCCCTCAGAAACAGGCAGTAGGAGTCGGGCCGGGCGGCCGCCGGACGCGCCATGAACATCATCATCGGCATCGGCGGGTGAGAGCCGGGACCGGGCGAGGAAGGCGACTCGGGGTGCGGGACGGGCATGGGTCTCTCATCCCGGCCCCTCCCGGTGCCGCAGTGGGGGTGGGGGGGTGGACACGGCCCCCACGTGGCGCTTCCCGACGGCCGCGCTCTCGCCGCAGGGTCACCAACGGCGGCAAGACCACCCTGACCCGCCGGCTGATGCGGGCCCTGCCCAATTGCAGCGTGGTGCACCAGGATGACTTCTTCAAGGTGAGCGGGCCCGCCGACCCCTGCAGGCCGCGGAGGGCGCGGGGTGACCCCCGCGGGCTTCCGCCCGCGCTGCTGGCGCGCTGCCCGCCCTGCGCCGCCCTGCCCTGCCCGCGGCTGCTGCTGCCTGGCGGGGCCGTGCGGCTGCCGGATAAGCCTGCGCTACAGCGGGTCCCCATGGCTTCCCATGTCGCGCTGTACGCTGCGCTYGTGTCCGTGGGAAGATAGAGGAGCAGGAGGCTTTATCTGAGCCTCGTACTGCTGGTTTTATCTGCATGAAAAGGAACCTGGTGGAGGGTTAAGATTCCCTTTTGTAGCTTCAGGGTTCGGATCTTGAATCTTGCTTTAAAATGGGTATTGAGCTTCTCAGTAGCTGTCCTGACCAAGCAGGTTTGCTTTTTTTTTTTTTTCTTGTTACTGTTTCAGCCCCAAGATGAAATAGAAGTTGAAGATGGGTTTAAACAGTATGATGGTAAGCTTTTGTTAGAGTTATCAAAGCATAACTCAAAAACTTCAGAGTATTTTGATTCTTTATGTGTACTGTTTTGTACTGACTATTACTAGATTATATTTCTGTTTCATGATAGTTGTCTGTTTTGTCTTAGTGATTAGTGCATTAGATATGGAAGCTATGATGAGTACCATAAATGCTTGGATAAAAAACCCAGTCAAATTTGAACGATCTCATGGGATCAACAACACACTGGATGCCCAGATCTTGGAAGATAAGGAGGGAGGAGATGAAACAATCCACATTCTCATTGTTGAAGGCTTCCTACTTTACACCTACAGGTAATCAATTGTGACTTCATACATTTTGATTTTTACATTATTTTATGTGACAGGCAAACCTCCAAGGGAATAAAAAGACCTCTTCTAAACCAGGAGCTAGCAGCTGGTATTGACTACTGTCAAGTTTACGTGGCACAAGTCTAAAGAGTGCTCTAAGGACAGGAAACGGATATTGTTTTGTCTTTCTGGATTTTGCTACTTATTACACCAGGTGTAACCAAACACATGTCTCTTTCAGGCCACTGATTGATGTGTTCCACCATCGGTACTTCCTTTCCATTCCATATGAAGAGTGTAAAAGGAGAAGAAGGTAAGTTTGTCTCAAACTTCCTTGCCAGCCCAATAACATCTTACTCCATTCAAGACTTGTTTCTCTTTTAGATGAAAAGGAATAAAGGCAAATGTAGCTACCGAGTTAGAGGACTGTAGCTTCCTTCATCACACTAACGCAGAACTTCCTCCCATGTTATTGTGTCATTTATGTAATGCTCTGTTCCTGCAAAGACCTTTCACAAGGCTTTCTCTCTTACTGGTTTTCCAATTACACAGTTCCCGGGTYTCAGACTATCTTAGGTGTTACATTTGGCTGCATTGTTGCACACATACRTTGTTCTTCATGCAAATGAAARGTATTAAACATGAAATTACATTTTGAGAGGAATAAGCAGGCAGCTATTTTACCCAAGTTCTGCTAAAGCTTTTAAAGTTTATTCATCAATATTTAGATCAGTCTGTCTTGGTAATTTTCTGCACTTTGAACACTTTGGACCTGCACATCAAATTTCAGCTTATTTGCCTAACTTGATCCTTGCAGCTCTTGCTCACTACTAACTTTTAATGAGCTCAAAAACCACACTGGAGTCAACAGGCTCAGGCTAAGGTGTAGAGATCCTTCACTGGGTTTGTCATTTCCCTGTGAGTTACAATGCCTTAATTTACAGTTCCAGGAATTACACTGTACCGGATCCACCTGGATTGTTTGATGGCCACGTTTGGCCTATGTATGTAAAGCACAGGAAGATAATGGAAGAACTTGGAGTTGATGTGGGTAAGTCTTCAAYGACAAAAGCACTTTATGAGATTGCTTTTCAAACCTGTTCTATAGATACTGGTTAGATGTATGARAGGAGGAGGTGAATGAAACARGTGAAGGGRATAYATTTCTCTGATACCAGTCAGGTGCWTGCWTTTTAAATTAGGATCTGGCAAGCTTACCAAGACATTCTATTTTAGCTCTCTTATTTTACTTTCAGTGCATTTGAATGGGACAAAATCAAAGGAGGAGCTKTTTAATGATGTGTATGGGCAGATCCAGAATAAGATTGAAGAATTACTTAACACCCAGGTATATATTCATGCTTGTAATTGCAATTCAAAGGCAACCCTTTTAAAACTTGTATTTGAAAAGTATGATGCTGTAACTTGAWATAAATTCTCATACCTTTCTGTTTAGAAATAAGCTGCTGCTGCTGATTCTTGTAAGTGAAGATGATTCCTGTGTGCTCCACGCTGTCTACCTGACTGCCTCTAAAGTTCCAGCTTCTGTGAAGACTCAACTCTCAAATTCAATCTTGTTCAACCTTTCCCTTGACAACTGAATTCTATATGGTCATAATTAAAAAGCACTTCCCCCTGTGTCTGTGATCCTAAATTGTGCTTCAGTCTAATATGCGGTCTCGGGTAATTGTTTTCGTTATGTTCTTAGTGTCACAGCTTAAAACATTATAGTGGAATTCATGTGAAGTGGCACAACTACCCTCAGAGACTGTGTGTATCCATATACACAGACACTGCTTTGACCTTTTTTTTTCCTTTCAAAACTCTGCATGTTTTCCTATAATAATCAGGCTGCAGGTATACTTAGAAAGTAGGATTCATGTTCTTCAAAAATAAGAGAACAATTGGAGACTTTCAGGCCCTTTTACTAGCATCAATCACTGTTAAATCCAGTGCATATATTGATCTTAGATGCAGATAATTCAGTTCAGGGTCAGGAATGACATATACAACAAGTTTTAAAAGTACWAATTGCTCTAGAAATTCCTGTAGTAATCTGTAGGGTAAGGCCAGTTAAGACTCCTGTGTAAATACAGAAGTAGTTTAAGGCCTCAGTTTACCTAAAAGAGCAAGGAAAGAGCATTATGAAGGCTTAATCCATAGTAGGAAGAAAAGTGAATTTGTGACAAAATCTTGATGTAAAAAAAAGAAAAAAAAAGTCTGCCAGGTATTCTAAGAGAAGATATGTATTGATCCAGTGTGAGGCCAGTCCATTTCTTTGGAAGGTTTTAACCAACACTGAGAACCAGTGCAGTTACTTCAAGCTCAGATGCATTAGCTTCCTGAARGGAGCTGGTCCTCCCCAGTAGCCCCTGGAAATAGAGAAAAGTTCTTTTATATACTGTCAAAGTAGGGCTTGGGTTAAGTTTTTGTTTCTTGTAAGCTATCATACTGCTAAAAGATGTTAGGGGGTTGTTTGATCATAACTAAGGATGTACTTTGCTTTTATTCTGGCAAGGAACTAAACCAGAACAGGTGTCTACACCTGACTGTTTCTCTTYAATACTTACTTGAGCAGTCCATTCCAGTAGAGCAGAGGCATCAGATCAGCTTTCATATGGTACATGGTCGTTCTCTCCTTACCCTGGTCRATGGGAAAGGTCTCCAAAGGCTGAGCATTGTAGTCAAACTCTGCTAGAATCACCTTGTCGTAGCCYGTTACTAGTGGGCAGGAAGTGTATCCATCGTACTGCAAGGAAAATTACAAAAATACCCACCTTGCGTTATTCTGAGCAAAGCCTAAATGCTGGGGTTTTACAAGCCATTCACATTTCAAAATAACTTCCTACGAGGTTCTTGCATATACAGTGTAAATATCAGTGAAGTTGGATGGCTGCTAAAGTATTATGGTTTAATAACCATAATAAGCCAGCTTTTCAAATTAGATCTGCTTAATAATATTGCTAAATTAGACCTAACCTAGAACAATGGGGCTCAATGTCATTAATTGTGGGTTATTGTAAGTGGAACAGGTGACCAGCAGCTTAGGATGAGARGTGGTGTTTACTGTAATAGGTAAAAAGGCTCTTCCATTTAGTGAGAATTTATAGAGAACCACCGGATATTCCATTTAGTGCCCCAAGGAAGCAATGGTTTCCTTGAAAATTAAAGGCTCAAGGACAAATTTGAACATATTTATAGGCTCAACAGCTGTAGTACAAAAGTAGTACAAAAGCTTCAGTTTAACTCCATAAAAGATCGTGTCCTATTACCAGAGAAACAAGTTTACAGAAGTTTTTCTGGAGTAGGGATTACCTTAGTCAACAGTGTAAGTAAGTCACTTGCACTGGTGAAAAACCCAGACTAATCAGCCTTTTTAACCTCTCAAGTGAGATGTCAAGGAATCAAATAAGTGATACTTTAACAGCAGTATCAAGAGTATGAGSTGTGCAATTGCATTACTACTCTGCCATGCAGCATGTGACCATGTAGCACCAACACTGCGGAGGCAAAGCCTTTCCTGCCTTCCGGTACACGCGGATCAGCTGCTTTCACGATTTCCTGCATAAAAAAGGAGAAACATTTCTCCCTAAGACACGAACTGTAAGTACCTTTTTAACTGGCATCTCGTTCTTCATTACCAGAGAAATAGTTTTATCAAGGACTCCAGACTGTGCAGCTAAATAAGAAAGAAAAAGAAGTGTACTAAGACTTTGTTTCAGGCAGCAGCTGTCATTTCTAAAGCAAACACTAGACACCAGGCATTTTGTAGGGACAATTCAGCTGCAATTGAACTTAATGTAACGTTACAGTCCCAGATTTTTAAAAAAGGGACTAATGCTTTGGCTTCACTGTTTCAAACATGATAAAGCTTAGTGAAACTTGAACTGATATTTTTAGCCTATGCCCATTCTCCTGTGATAAATTATACTTGTTCAGTCTTAAYACTGAAATTCTGGCACACTGAAATTGTTTCGAGTGCTGTAATTGTTGACCCATKTACTGAAGTAGTTGACTACCCCACACTTACATTACATCAGTGACATAGTGTATACCCTATTTTTTCTACTCTTACTTGCCTTTTATCAGTTGTGAGACTGTACACTTGGAAGTGTTTCAATTGTGGAACCTGTTGCTACAAGGGCAAAATGGGTCATTTTTGATAGTGACTTATCAATTAGGTAATGCATGAGGTGCTAAGACAAAGCAGAAACTTTCATTATTGAATGATGGAATACATGAAGAGTACATTCATTCTATGTCATTCTGTGAACACAAAATATAGAATGAGTTMATCTGTGAGGCATCTGGAACAACAGAATTGTTGGGTTAGTGGCATCGGCATGGTCTGTAGCTAACTAGGTGGCCCAGGAGACTCTGGTCGTTTTGAAAGCTCAAAATTGAAGTAATGGCCTCAGAAGTATTAAACTAAACAAAAAGCTTACTGTGACTCCACTCCTGACATTTACACACACAAACACATGCAACTTTACCTACAGCTGCAGCAGTTTTTGATGTTGGAAGGTTGGTGCAGTCTCCAATACCAAACACATTACGATACTTTTTATGTTGTAGAGTCTCCTTATCTACATCCACCCAGCCGTTTTCATCTGAGACAGGACTGTTGATGAGTACAGCAGGTGGCCCCATTGGGGGTGTGACATGAAGCATTTCATACTGAACAGAAAGAAAAGGCACTCAATGGTTAGTTCATCCAAGCAAACATACCTGTTGGTATAAGGCAAGAAGCACAGTGTGGAGAGAGGGTTTCTTGGGTTTGTGTCTGTTTTGGCTTTTTTAAACRCAAGTATATAGAATGCAAATCTGTTCTCAAATTTCAAGTGCATCCTTTGATTAACATGAACCTTATTAAGCAACTCCATTTGGAAGGAATTTTCCTTCCTCCATACACACCTGAGATATTTGCATGGCATACACGACTCCAGGCATAATTTATTACATATTTTTACTTCTCTCTACCTTAGTTTCAAATTTTTTAATGTTSTGCTGAAGTTAGAGATAGTACTCTCAGGGATGAACAGCAATACACAACGAAGCAGACTATGTTACTATATTGTAGAAGTTATTTTACAGTACACAAGGAAAATAATCAAATGAGGGGTCTGAAAGTTCCTGACCTGATAAACTTCAGTCGCTCCAGGTGTGTCCAAGTTTTCAAACACAGCTTCTTGCTTGTCTGCTCGAACTTCTATGAGATTGCGCTTATAGTTAACAGTAAGATTCCTGTCCTTTATTATTTCAAGCAATGCATCAGCATATTTTTTAACACCAAAAATCACACCAAGTGAAGTGTTGAACATGATGTTTGCTTTGGMACGTTTTCCTGTCTGCGGAAGGATATCAAATTAGCCTTTTCTATCAAGAAACTGTGACAAGCTATATGAGAAAAAAGAATTACACTGCACTACTAAAGTGCTGATATAATTATTCATGAAGTTCAAATATTAATGAATATTTGATTAATATTTCACACCACATTAGAAGGAAGACCTTTTCAGCATGAGGTACTGAAAACACCCCACAAACGACTTGTGAGAAGAGGTGGCTGCAAGGCACTGAGGGACTGCTCTGTGCTGGTGAAATACTTGAGGCAGTTTAGTGTTATAAAGCTTTCTGAAACCTTCACTTCTATGCATAATTCAGGTACTCACCCAGTAGGTAGTTCATGAAACTTAAACATACATGAAACCTGACACTTGTACCTGAAGTTGTCTTTTGCTTCCACTAAGCTTGTTTTAACAGCCTGGTTAAGACTGCACCTGATGCTGAAACTGCACCCCACGGGCCAAGCATAGCCACTTTTCAGACTAGCAGAAAGACAAATGGCAACAGCTATTAAGTACTTAAAGTAACAAGAATTACTTAATTCCAGCCAGCATTATTTTGGTGCACCACRTGAAGTTATAAATTAGGCTGAGAACAGTGGTATCTGCAGCTCACCAGAAGCAGGGTAAGCAGTTCTTTCAGTMCTGATTCTGAATTCTACAAATTTCTCTGGTATTAAATATATGCTAAATATTTACGAACAATCCATTCACCTGCATTCATTAAACATTAAAAATAGAAAAAGCAACTCAGTCACTTTAATAATCCTGAGTCACAGCACTCTCACGTGGTTTATATTTGTTTTAAAAGATAATATGAAACCCTTAGAACAAACCTTCCTTCCAACTGTGAGAACAAGCACTGGCAGAGAGGGTAAAAGACTTACTTTTCTCAAGTAYGCATCCGACAAATACATGATCTTCTGAGGAGCCCCTGCACACTTCACTGGAGTATTTGGAAAAGTGAAGATAGCATTTCCTTCCTGAAAATCTTGTAAAGCTTTCCATGTTTTCTCTACTGTCTGAACTGAATAATTGGAACCTATTTTAGGGTAATTAAAACCTTCAGGCAAGCCTTTGATCTAGGAAAATAGAAATTAAGGTTTAATGTAGAGAYGGCAAAAGCTTTGTTATCATTGACAAGCATTAAATAAAGACTRAGAAATAACTATATAAGAAGTTTCRATCTAAAAGAAAGMCTATACTTACTTACTAGTTGCTATTTTTAAAATCAGGCCTACCAACAAAACAGGTATTTYCTTTAGAATTTAGTAGATGATTTARTAGATGTAWYATTTAGTGAAATTACTTTGTTCTGTCACATCTGAACATAAATCTTCAGTGCAGACCCAAACGTAAGTTTTTGTAGACAGAAATCCAGAGCAAAAATACATAAAGTCACTACACACCATCACAAGTAAAAGTCATGTTAAAAACCCAACCAAAYGTTATAAAAATTTATAAGCTGAACAAAACTTTTCAGTAGTCAGTTGCAGGTATCTGTATTTGCCTATGGTTATTTATTTTATCTAAACTATATCCAGTAATTATTTCCTTATTACTCCTACTATGGCCTGAGCACCTGCTTGTGAAAAAGGAAGTTGTGCCCATTTCAAAATAATGGATTGCAGAAATTCTGTGAGTAAACAGTGTCATGTTATACACACTACAATGTGTCTGGGATGTTCCAGTCTGTACCAGAAGTACACTGCTGGTGAAGAGAAACCATCCCTCTGTTTAAAGTGTCCCCTTTTGTTTTAAAGTTACTATGAGTTTTCATTACAGCAGAATTGTGATTAACTGTATTACATGGCCTCTACTAGTGAACACTGAATTTACTTTTATCAGCTTGTACTGAAGCAATACATTTGAAGACTGAGAGGAGGGTCACTGAACATGCTGCAGCTCCTTGTTCCACTGACCTAATTAACTACAGTCACACATAAATTCTGGTGATTGAGACCAGCTCTTGTTTTACATATATCTTGGGAGCTTTACAAAGAGATATTTAAATATATTACCAGATACTACATCATTCTCAGGTCAGGGTAAAACCACGAGAGTCAAATCGCTCAGGGATCTTTCCTCTGTATTTTCCTTCTCCTAAATATTGTTGTGGTCATTMTTGCACCAACGTTTGCCTCTGAGTGCCACTGTGTGACGTGTACAGGAAACCTTACACAAGGGAAGGGGCCCAGGGCCTATTCAAACACAAGCCTGATAACTCAGTAACTTTTGAAACATATCCTTTAAGAAAAGTGAGGGAAGGTCAAATTAATTCTGCAGGACAGATTTTACTGACTGCCTTGTGTTCCTTGCTCTGTTTACATTAGAGATGCTTCAGACTACAGTCAGCATACCTCATTATGTCATTATTATAGGCTGMCTTTAAGTTCTACATTAATTTGGGTTATTACAGCGAGCTCTGTGGAAGGAGTAAAGTCATTAGTCTGACTGTTAGCTTTTTCATTCGTATGGTGTTTTAATACCTTGTAGTAAAAGCAGTACTGAAAAGCCATGTACTTTAATRAACATATGTGATGTTATTAAAACTAGTAAAAATGTGATTATTGTAAAACAAATACCTTCTCATAATGCAGACTAATTCCAAGGGCAATTATCAGATACTTGTAAGACATCTGTTGTGTAAGGGAAAAAAGGTATTTTAGACAAAGAAACCAAAGCATTACCTCAAAGCAAATTTAAGTTATCTGACAGCAACAGAGTCACAAGGGAAGGAGATACAGGGAGCCTTAGTAACATAAGTTAAACTCTAAGAATTCTAATTAAAATGCTAACTGCATTGTGAGTTACACACACAGCCTTTGCTTATACATATACCCGGGTATCTGGAGCAAAATATTCTCTTTTTTCTGTTCGGTTCAYCATAAACAGGGCAAAGGCTTACGATAATTGTATTTTAAGTTGATGTTATTCTAAGCTAGTTATCTACCACAAGTTTTATTAGAAAAATACTTTAGGATCAAGTACTTCTCACAAGACTAATTYGAATTTCCCAGCCTCCCAGATGCTGGAGGTCTTGCTCAACAGGCAGTTCTAAGGAGATCTGCAGGAAGCAGACACACAATTCATGACATAATAATTWTTWTTTTTTWAAATTTAATTACCTTGGTATCATTGTCCAGCCAGACACAGTTTTTTTCTGGATCCAATGCTGTAACTTGAGATTTGATCCAGTCAACACCTTGAGGCATTACGCTTTTCATTGGACGTGCAGAAGCTTCCAGCTGCTTTGCACCAGCGCCAACCAGAGTCCACAGAGGCTGATAGTAATGAGTCTGAAATAAAAATTCAAATGGAGAACTGTTTAAAAGGACTTTAAGATGAAGGCACATCACTCTAAAGGGAGCAATGGACTCTTAACATTGCATTATTCTTAACAAAAGGCGTTGTTAATCAAGATTTTTGCATTACAAGGCTGCAGGGGTGCATACATCTCATGGAGAAACAAATGTCATGTGAAACCTTTTGAAAGATGGTTAGTTGGCTTGCTTTCCACAGTTAAAAACATGTGGGGCTGGAGAGGGATGAGAACCAGCCCCATCTGGTCACATGTAAAAAGCTTATTCTTTTCAATGCTTTACAGCAGAGGGACACTCACCTCACTTGGCTCAACAACAGCCACGTTTCCTGCTCCCACTTTCCTCTTCATCCGAGCACTCATGGAGATTCCACCAGCACCTCCACCCAACACAAGTACTTCATAATAACTCTTGGCAGCACACCTGGCTGCTGTGTGTAAGCCAAAGGAACTCATCTTCTGCATTCCTGGTTTCAGCAGCCACACACCAGGACGGAGACAGAAGCAGGACACTGCTCCAATTGCTGCCATTTTGCATTAAGTGGGAAGCTATGAGATAAGRAAAGTCACCAGTAACAATTACAGGAGGCAGAATTTATATTTACTTAAATGCCTGGGTTAGTCTTCAAGGCAAAAATTGTAATATTAAATTCTTGAGTCACAAGACAAGAGTTACAGCTTTTTCAATTAAAAAGAGTAGAACTCATTTACAGTACTTACAGACCAGAGTTTGGAAATTACACTAGAAACTTCAAATTTTTCAAGAAAATCTTCCAGTGTCAGGTTCAAAAATTCTCCACTACACTAGATGTAGTTCAGCAACTTGTTCTGCACCTTCCTGTGTTACCTTGACATCCCTCATGTCTATGTACCCTCAATTCTTTAAAATGCCCCATTAATAATCCTTACAGTTACAATTAATTTGGGACAGAGAGGGAGAAATATCAGAGATGTCCGCTGTAAAAATAATTTTCTTTTACAGAAGGTTTCCACGATGCAGTTTACTTCTCATCCCCTCCCCAATCAGAACAAATGGCCAGCTCTGTGGTAAGTTAAGTTAATTTCACTTTAGAAAGCTGTTTATCATCTGTGCAGGCAGCTATTTAAAAATGTGGACAGATTGCTCAAGCAARAAGTTGTTCTAGGCCTAGAAATAAAAGTTATCAGATGAGGACATGGCCTGTTCTCTCCAAATTAGAGAGATGAATGGAGAAGGTTTTGAAACTTGTTTGCAAGACAGTTTTAAGAGTGAAATCTTGTTTGCAGAAGCTCAAGAATATGGAATTTTGCTTTGCACTTATTAAATACACAGGACAGGCCTGCTGATTGACAACACGTTCTGGACCAAAAGAAAGACTCCACTTTTGTCAGGTTGACTAAGAAATAATTATCCTCTCTGTCCAAACAGATTTTTGAAGTAAGCATAAGCACATACAAGATATATCTTAACTAAGAGCAGTATAATTGATGTGAAAACAGTACTATGTTGCTTCTCAGTGGTTTCAGAGTGTGCAGAAACAAGCTGAAGTGCCATATGGAGCATGCAAAATCCCTCATATTAAACTTTCAAGTCAGACAGCAACTGTAGGATCAATTCTGTCAACATCAGCCTTCTACTTTGGATWAAGGAGASASAGGAACAGGGGAATTAATGAATCATAAAAGAAGGTAAAGGAAAGAAATTGTTGTYAGCCTACTGAACTGAGCTGAAATGCTAAGCTTTTATAGGACCAGTTTAATGGACAGCACACTTATCCATCATCCTTTCAAGTATGCACAACAAAACATAACTCTGAGAGTGCCCTTACACAGCATGAAATCACATATGAGGATGCTGTACAAGTCTCAGAGTACTGCCTGGAATGACAAAGCCTGCACTGCACTTCTCCACCACAGCATAACGAGGGCTCTGCTTAGCCTGGGACAGTTCTGCAGTTTAATCCCATTCTGTCACCAGCAGAGGTAAGTGTTCTACAAATGCCTTCAGGATACCGTGGTTTGTCMCAGTGTTGGCAGCTTGGGTAATGCTGCTGCAATGGAACTCACCCAGCATCACATACAAATCAGGSTGATGTGACTCACAGTAAGTCCACAAAAACATAATTTCTACCCTGACAGAATTTCAAAGGGTTTTYCCCCCTTCCTTTTTAAAAACAGATGTGTTATTTACAGACTTAGCTTGAAGACAGTCAGTGGCTGTCCAAYCTCTATTCATAAATCTCTTTTCCCTTTCAATCTAATGCCATTTGTTTGCCTTTTTCTTAGAACAAGTCTGCTTAGTACTGAAGAAAATGCAGTTTATAAAATCACAGTTAACACTGAGTAGGAGAGCTCAGTACCTCAGTATCTCTACAGAGCCTGGACCGAGCACTGAACCGAAGCACGGCAGTTCATGCAGACACTCAGGACCCAACTACAGATTCCTCCTCCCCGGAGCACCTACCGCCTACTTCATCGAACCAGTTTATTGCAGGAAGTTGGAATAAATGAAGTTATTTCACTGATTATTTCATAAGCATTACTTCTGCTGGCAAGAAATACAGATCATTGCAACTATTCTTCAAACARCTGACAACAGATCAACAGTTTAAACATTCCACGCGTGCACGTGCGCCAACTCGGCCGGCAGCTCATAGCCGACTCCAGAGCCTGCGAGCCCCTCAGCGCCGGTCCCAGAGCTGCGAGGCCGCTGCTGCCCCGCTGCTCCGCGCCCCGGGGACCCGGTCCTGCAGGGGGGAGCAGGAGCCTGACCCCGGGGGTGGGACACGGCCCCGACCGCACTAGGTGAGGCCGCTGCGGCCCGCAGGCTCCCCGCCAGCACGGCCCTCCCGCCGCGTCCGTGCTCGGCCCACCCCGACAGCTCCGCTCCCTCAGGCGGGACGGACCCCGGCCCCGCTGCCGGCCCCGCACTCACCCGCTCGCTGCGCCGAGCAGGGGCCGGGAAGGACCGCACCGCCCGCCCGTGTGCGATCAGCGCCGGGTCCCGCAGSAGCGGGGCGGAGCTCGGAGCTCCGGCTGTGCCCGGCCGGGGCCAAAGGCCGCGGTTCGGCCGGGACGGGCAGGGCGCGGTGTGTGCAGCTGCCGGTGGCCGCGGAGCCCCCGCCTAGGGCTGAGCCGGCCGGTTAGCTCAGGTAGCGGGCAGGTACCGATCACACCTACAGCTCCAAACCCCGTGCTTCCCACGGTTTTGAAACTCCAATCCTATACCTGGCCCCTGCCAATCCATATGGAAACCCAGCTGCACATTGAGCTGGCAGTAACCTGGAGTCCCACGTAGACACAGCACAGGTCACTCACCTCGGCCTGACCTGCACCAGAATCACGATCACTACAGTRTGTGATGAAATGACCACCGATACTTCATCTGAAATGTCTCTGTTACCTGCAAGCATCAACCCTAAACCCTAATCTAGTGGTCCTTTTCAGAAAAACAGCAAATAYATAAAGCATAATAAAGTAACACCAAAACACTAGATCAATAGTTAACAATAAATGAGCTCTGATAAAGTGCATTCCCCAGAGAAGGCTCTTTTTTCAAAGCTGCTGAACACCCACCATTCCTGTGTTTACTGGGCAGAAAATGTACTGAAAGCAGACACAAGCTGGTATCTTTAAAAGTGTGACGTGGAGAGTAGACATCTTTGTTAATACAAGGGACTTCTCCAAAGTGAAAAAAAAAAAAAAATTATAGTTACATCCTTTAGAACACACAAACTGTCTATTTTTACAATATTTATGAATTTCTTAACTTCCTGTTCCCAGCTGTCTTAGTATAACCAGAGTGCAGCCTTTTCCCATTTTTTCTAAGAGGTTGATCCTCATCTCTGTTCATGAGAAAATTGTTGGGCTGGTTTTTTAAGTGTGTATTTTTAGGATGGTCTTTAAATATTGCAGTATTTTCTTTATGCTACCATGCATATTTCCCCACAGACTGCTTACAGAGAAGCTCCACAATTTGAATTTTAAAAAAATTACTTCAATAAACGCCACAATTCAGAAACATTTCACAAAGCAAACATAAAGGAATAACACAGCTGTAGCACAGAGCCCTCCACAGGGAGAGGTAGGAGCTGTTGTGAGGGCTGGGCATGCACTGCCTGACCCTAACCTTATACTACGCCAGTTATCTACTCAATAAATAACTTTTTATAAGATCAAGCAAGACTAAATGTATACAGCAGCAGAACTGTTCACTCTAGCTGTGCATGTTGATGCAAGCACACAATTTTAGATGTCAGTATCATTAAATTCACCCAATGCAGCATTTACTTTTATGAATTAAGACACAAGTATTCAGTAGAACCACATCCTATAAAGATAATGAATTGTAGTTTTGACCAAGTAATTTAAGGGCACATTAGCAGATGTAAACTGGACAAACTTCCTCCTATATATTTTTATTAATTTTCTACACTTTATTACAGAAGGTCATTTAGTAAAATTAGATCCTTATTCATAGAAACTCCAGATTTTCCCATACTTTTATAAGAAAAGTTAATAAATGATATTTTTATGTGTGTGTATGTGATTCCTCGGGCAAGCACTGTCAGCTTTTATTCCTTTGATTGGAAATTATTCCAAATGTTGAAATGTACCAAATTTCAAAAGTATGAATTTCTATGAATTTCTTAGAATTCTCTAGTTACAGTTAAAATAACCATGATTGTTTTGGAAACAAAACYGCAAACCACAGTTCTTTGGAGAAAAACAGTTCTTGACAGAGACAGAGACAATATGACTTGTTACACAGTAAACTGGATTCTAGATGAGGGCATATAAATCAAGAAATATCACAAGAATTCAATCCTGATTTGGAYACTAAGGCAGCTAGTTTAACGTTATACTTTAATGAAAACTGTTTTAATTTCCAGAATCTGATTTTGAAATTACATTACAAAATAAAACACTTAGACAACATTTAGTTATGTACATTCTGCTCCAAAAAACGGACTGTGGAAATTCTTYACATTTCTCTTAGAAATACATAMAAACCACAGCAGAGGCCAACAATCCACTGGCAATTAACAGACACAAGTCAACTTAAGGGAAAAAAATCTGTGGGAAGTTTTAATCTAATACTGTTTCAGTGACAGCATTTCAGTGTCTCTTCAGACTGCTTTAAGTAGTTTGTTCTCCTTGCCCCAAAACAWTATCCCAGTTTACCTTGCATGATGGATGGGTACTTACTAGAATACATCTTTCACAGAAAAAGATGATAAATATTAAGAACAGGAAATTAGGAGTTCAGAAAGTTACACTACAGAAAGTCCAGGTATACACAGGTGTACRCTGTGTGAATCATCTAAAACAGAASAAAAAGTAAAATTGASTGTGCCTCTGGGATACTACCTAAGAAGAAACACAGATATAAAATAACTAGTTTGTTAGACTGTAGGGACAAATAATTTAAAGCTCTTTTGCCAGTCTAGACAACTTGTACATTCATTTGAATGGGASTTCACACCATTGGAATTACATTCAGAAAAATGGGTATCAATCTCCATTCCAAATCTGCCATCAGTACACTGTAATAATCATCAGTTTGGGGGAGGGCAGTATAACAAAAAAKCTCTTATACAGCTCCAAAGTGCAAATGATTMATTYTTTAAGGAGAAAACATTAAATGTARTAGTTTTCCTATAGGTAGCTGAATTTCATGTGAAGTGGAAATTTTTTAGTTTTGGTTATGTTTTATTTTGTCACGCAAGATGAAGAAACTTCAACTTCTAATCCCACAAAAATATGCTTGGACCACACAGGTCTTCCTGATAAACTATTACAGTAGCAACAGTTCCCTGGTTTAACTTAATTGATTAYGGAAGCACAAACTCATTAATCTTCACAWTGTACACAYGTCAATTTTGACACACATCAGRTGTTCTGCTTCACCCCTGCCAATCAGTTCAGCGGGGAACTTATTCAGAAGTTACTTTAAAGTTACTTTAGAAGTTACCTGATGACAAAAAAAAAAACAAACATTGCAATGAAATTAATTTTTAGGCAAATACAAGTGTTTCCTTCAGTTCATCAGAGATGGATCAAACTAAGGCGGCACAAGAAGTTGGTATTTATGATCAAAGACATCCCACCAACTGCCTGAAACAAAGCAGTTTCAGTGAAAATGCAGGCACTGAAGTCTGGTGATGAGAACTGAACTTTAAGTTGTATTCTGCATTTTGTCTGAAAAACATGCGCCAGTCCTCAAATATCTCTCAGAATTCTTTACACCAAAAGAACAGATGAAAACAAAAATGGATAGACACTTAAAACTATGATGCCTAGTTCTCCTATATACATTTATATATATAAATTAATTTACATTATAATAATATCAAACCGCATAGCGTTACAAAAGAAGGCAACTTGAATGGCTGAAATGAAAAAATGTAAATGTTAACAACTATTATTACCACTCTGGAATTTATAATACTATAGACTGTTGTTACCAACAGCGATAGCCCAATTTAAGCAAAATCTGCCTTAATTCCAGTGAATGCAGAAATCATTAATTCAGTCATGTTGTTGCATACTCTGCTGTCATGTCCTCTTTGCAGGTTTTGCTGTTAACTGTTTCTCTCTTTCAAGTTCCTTCTCACGTTGCTGCTCCCGTTCCAATTCTTCCTTCTGCCTCTTTTGTTGCAGCTTAAGTGCTCTTTTCTACACAGAAAATACAAGAAAATAATTTTTATAGATATATTTGAGTTTGAGTTTTAAAGATATATTTACGTTTGAGCTACAAACAGAATCCCTCCCATTCTCTCTCTCTCCAACACACCCTCCTTATGACTGAATGTAACATAAACTGTTCATTTTCGCTTCATTCCTCCCATTCAGAAATGGCAAATTTGTGATCTACACTGGGAAAACACAAACTGGAGTCCCTTCAGGCTCACTAGAAGTCATCCTTTGGGTATACCTGACAAGATTCTTACCATGTAATTTACTGCCTCCAAGAAAAATTCTCTTGTTGAACACACTGAAGGACTAATCCTGCCAGAGACTGTCTACATAGCATGAAGTCCGTGGACTTATGCCACTGTTAATGGTATGTTAAACAGAAGGAGAAATTCTTACATTTGTGACAATCTAGTTTCCATTGAAAAGAAACTACAACGATTAAGAGATCTACTTGGAATGGAGTGGATTAAGCAACAGAACAAGGCATGACTCTTACACCATCTAAACATGAAGATGACACTAAAAGTTAGGAGTATTTCAGAGGTGTAAGTTGCTTGAGCTCCATTAACAGCAAGTGAAAGTTTAAAAACATAAATGGCTCGGAGCTACTGAGAACACCCTTTTAAGGTAAAATTCTATTTTAATCAGAATTTTTAGCATGCATACAAAAGTTGGAAGTCAATAATATATGAGTAATAACTGTATTGGAAAGTAAAAATATTTATCCCACTTACTTTTAACTTTGATGTTTTCTCGTGGATCATCATCATTTCATTTCTAATACTCACTAACTTGTTGTGATAGTGTTTAGCTTCTGAAAACTTAAAAACCATAACTGTTAAAGCAGTGACTGTCAAGTTAGAATAGTTGTTTTATAAAGCTACACAGCAAAATAACAATCAAAAACATAGTGATTACCAGAAGAATTTGATAATGGAACAAACATGTTAGAAGTTTATGCATAAAATTTGCATATTATTTATATTAATATAGAAAACTACTACTTCTCAACAGTTGCACCCAGTAATCTACTGAATTAATCACAAAATAGAACAAAAATATTACCATTTTATGCACCATATATAAGTGTTTCATGCACCCTTCCTCCTAGTCTGGGGCGCTGCAGAGCTCATGCTGGAGCCTCAGTCCTACTGCCAAAGTGTGTACTTTTGCTTTGGCTACTGGCTTTGAACTGCCACCATCACTAATGCTGCCTGACTGAGCCTGCTCTCTCTTCCCTCTGCCCTTCCTATTTAAGGAAAATATGCTGGTTCCCACCCTTTCTATAAATTTGTCCCTAATATCTGTACTGGTTTTCTTTTTGTAGGTCATTAAGATCAAGGAAAAGACACAAGCTGCTACTAATACTTTAGCAAGAAAATCTACACTAATCTAGAATTTAAAAGGCATTACTGGTACTTACCAAAGCGTTTATATCAAGAATGGAGTTACACTCTTTGAATTTTGAAATTTCTTGTTCTAATGTTTCTAGCAATACCACTTGGTTCTGTCTAAAACAAAAATAAAGATGCATAAATCCAAAGTAAAGCAGCACATTTGCTTTTCAACAAGCCRTTAAAATACACTTAATCAAAACAGTAAAAATACCAGATTCCTCTTAAGCATTGCTTGGTGATTTCAGTCAAAACACAAGTAAATGATTTTAGAAAARTCCAAGCTCTTATTTGTTACACAARTTCAGCTGGCATCATACAGCATGGATAGYCAGGATGAATATCCCAAAATCCTGAAGAGGCACTCTCCAGGTTGCAGTGGTTGACTGAAAGGAAGAACAATTAGCTCTTGACTTTCCACTTGGGTGCCTCTGTGTCACGATGCAGGACTAAGTTATTTCTGTACAGAAGCTGCGTGGATTCCTGGTGCTTGYTAAGGATCCTCCATCCCACAAAAATCAGCTCAAGTCTTTCCAGACAAGGGCTGTCCTTGACAGCAGCAGAACCACATCACACTTYGTGAAACCCAAACCCATGTACCCTGCAAAACCTGAGATGGATCTGTGTAAAGCTCTTTCCAGTATCTCTGTATCCATGGCAGATCTGCATTTAAAATCAGCTACTGTCAGTAATCAGCRAGATATCAGTRTACAAAGAACTTGTATCTGTTTAGCTCCTTACTTGCAYTTTTCAAGTGGTTTTAAACACAGTTTAGAGACTGAACAACAAACAATATATCTCACTACAGGCTGTCMTGAACAGAAACTGCATGTCTCCAAGCAAAATAAATCCAGCTTTCAGCACCCTTTTCCACTACAGAAGTGAACAAGCATTTAAGAATTGTACATGTTTTCTGGTCTGCTTGGCTTGGGGATTTCAGTCTTCTAGTGTTACACATTCTTCAGCCAAAGTGCTCRCAGGCTACACTGCAGCTTATACACCCCCTGGTACTGCCACAGACCACTGAATTATTCAGGCTGCTCTAGTACGGGCAGAGAAATACGAGAAACTCTATTCCAGTTAAGGGGAGCTGGTTGAAAAAAGCAGCAAACTAAGCATGCACACATATGAAGTTGGTCTGAAAAATCTGCTTACGTAAGTTCCTGCAGGGCTGATTTTGATCGCTGAAGATCAGGCAGATAATGGGAAATCAATCCTTCCGTTAGCTGCTCCACAGCTTTCTCATCTATTAAAGGCAGATCTTCTACAACTCCTTCATCTGGAGATGCATCACTGGGACCTACACCAAAGAACAGCAAGGTTGAATGTGACAGCTCAGCACACACTGCRAGTTTCACCTAGAGCAACTATATTTTCCTGTTTAAAAATTAAAAGCATTAAAACACTTAAGTTAAAATTCTCTGTCCTTTTTCAACTAAACTGGGCTTTCTTTCTCCTCCTCTTTTTTATTCCCCCCTTATTCCCAGTCCTATATCACATGCTTCTTTRCAAACTCTTCTATGTGAATACCAGCAGAATAGGAAGAGGGAAATATGGGTATTCCAAAGACATCTTACAAAAATAATTGAGCACTYCAGCCTACTGAAGAAAAAAATGGACAATATGAATTGTTCTGACTATGCACTAAGAGTACCTAAACATTAACAGCCCCCAACTTTGCTTTCAAAGTGAGAGAACAAACTAGGCTATGAAAGGTCTTCGCACGTCACTCAAAACACACGAAGAGCTCATTGAAACACGACGTGCTGAACTCCAGGAGTTTGCAGGAGTTAGTCCACAGCTACTGTAAGTTTCGTATGGGCACGCTATGATTATTTTTTGTCTGCAGAACTTGTGGAAGACAAAACCCTTTAACCTACAGCCTCCTCCGCCCGGGATAGAACGCTGCCGGAGGCAGCACCGGCAAGAGCCCGGCCGTAGGATCGGGAGCAGCCCAGACACTCCTCGGGCCTCCCCGCCCCCGCATCGCGCCCGGCCCGGGCTCCCCTCACGTACCCAGCGAGGGCCCGCGGTCACCGGCGGCCGCCGCCTCCTTCCCCTCCGGCCGCTCTGCACCGCTCATCGCTGCCGCTCCCGGCGCCCTCGGGCAGGGCAGAGCAGGGCAGAGCCCGCGGCAGGCGGGGTCCGGCTGCCCTCACCGAGCGGGGCGGCCCGGCACCCCCCGGCCCGCGGCCCGCCGCCGCCGCACCATAGAGCCCCGGCGCGCTCCGGGACAGGGCCGCCGCGGCCGCGGAAGTGACGCGCGAGTGACGATGGAGACCGGACTGACACCGCCGGGGCGGTCTTTCCGCCGCTCCCCTCCGCTCGCCGCCGCTCCCGGGGATGTCTGACCTGTCCGGGGCGGTGCGGGTCCGCCTGGCCCCGGGAACCGCCGCTGGGGCCGCGGCCGAGCCTCGGTGTCCGCCGGTTCCAGGCCCGCGGAGGCCCCGCTGTGGTGCCGCGGCCGCACAAAGCGGAGGTGCGATGGCACCGAATCAGCGTGCGGGGAGAGCGGTGCCAGGCGGGAGCAGCACAGCACTGCCCTGTGAGCTCTGCTGCCACGGCACTAAACAACTAAAACCACTCCCGGTGCTCTCTCTTAGAGACATCCTTGCTCTTGTGTGTAATAGATTCGTATTTTACTCTGCAGAAACCGCCCAGACCATACACGACTCGTAGCTTTTATTTCTTTGGAAACAATTAGCTTTTGTGAATGGGTTTTGTCTCTGCATCTCCCCCAACAGTCTGCAARAGCARTAATAACTTGACACAGAWTAGTTTGAGTTGGAAGGGACCCAGAAGGRTCATAAAGTCCAGTTCTTAAGTGAGTGGCCCATACAGGGATCGAACCTGCGATCTTGGCGTTATCAGCACCCCGATTTAACCAACTTGCAAGTATATATATATATATATATATATATATATATTTGATTTTTTTATGAAAAATCACTTTTCTATGATAGGAGAGGATTTATATGTTTTTGCTTCTTTTACCTATACGGGTCTTTTCAGGAAAAGCACGTGCAGCTGTAGCAAGAAACTAATGAAGGAACACTCCGAAAGTTTTTTTAATGCAGTATTTTCATAATTCTGGAAATCTTCAAGATTAAATTAAATTCAGGCAGTCCCCTTACTCCTCTTCAGAAACAGACCAAGGCAAAAGAAAGGGCTTTTGAGATGATATGTCAACCTTAAAAACATTTTTAACAGCAAGATGGTTGCAAATTCATTCGTATTTTTCTTCATATGCATATTCTAATTAATGGTTGATTACAATTATGTCACTATTCCATCATCAGATTAAAAGCTTACCCATTTTTCTTTTTCTGCTTTTTTAACGAAGCAACAGAAAGTTGTTAACTAAGTTAAACACTCAAATTCTTAATTAAAACTGGTTAGCAATTTTACTTTCTTTTGGTGGAAGGAAAAACACAACTTTTTTTTGCAAGTTTCACTGGGAAAGACTTCTCAGTTTCCAGATGGAATTTCTAGTAAGAACAAGTGAGATAATGACTCTGAAAGAGTCTCACTTGAGATGTGGGAGTTTCAGATTTGTGCTCCTGCTTTGCCTGTTCCAGGCCTTCCCACGTCTTGCAGAAATAGACTAAGGATTGGAATAGAAAACTGGTATCTGGTTTTCTAGACAAATTAAAATTTAACTATTTATCAACTCAAACGCTCCAAAAAAGAGATTGATAGAAAACTTTTCTTGTTCCTTTTCTTCTGCAAAATATCCTCTGTTTCACAGTAACTATTTCCCAAGTCCTATGTGTGTAATGCTATTAACACCAAATAATCATGTTCCATTTTGTTGTTATAACTGTGTTCAGAAACCTTTCATGCCACACTGTCACATACGCATTTTGGATTTTATTGTTGCAACTTATATAAGCAGTTACATATATTGCAACCRTGCCCCACCCTAGAAATCAGAATGAAAATGGGGTAAAATTAGCTTRACTTGTATAGAAAATTGGATCAACTTTGGACGTGCTGCATCAGCTCAACTTCAGATGTGCTGCATGACCTCAGGGATGACAATATGGAGAGGAAATACTTCACATTAATAGGTAACCTCTTMAAGACTCTTTGTCCTCATTAATTTAAGGAGACTAAAGAAAGAGCAGAGCCTTGGCGGTCACAATAAAGAAATTGAGTAGAGCAGGCTATTACAAAATGTTCTGTTCAACAGATGCTCATCTTATCAATGTATGACCTGGTTCTTGACAGTACTTCAGATCTGATCTTAGTTATTCAGTAAAAGATGAGCTGGCAAACCTTGGGGCACTGGTTTAGTGTGYGAGTCCTCCCAGCTCATTACCCTTGCTCAGTGCTGGAAGTTTCTGTTCCTGTAGAAGTGGCAAAGCTCCAGTGCAAAGCCCAGCATTTTAAGACAGTTTTAAAAGCAGTTGTTTTGGTGGCTCCTGGAACCTGGCTGCTCACGTCTRTGTGTGCTCACTCACTTGTGCTGGTACAAGTGGTGAAACTCTTGAAACACAGAGTGAGTTAAACCACCCAGAGAGAACAGAAACATTAAAAACGGGTGAACTGGAACACAGCTGGGAGYGCTTTCCTAGGCAGCAAGGCTGGCTTAACAGGTTCCCAGCTTTGGCTGCTCATTCTGACTCCCACGCTGTTCATTGTCCCCTCAGTTGTCATATGGATGTCTATGGGAATTGAGATCATGGAAGCAGGCTCAGTTACACAGAGAAATATATCCAAAACCCTYCCCCACTGCATTGTTTAATTCTGTCCCATTTCAGGGACCCAGATCATCATCTGATCCCTGAACAATTGTGCTGGTAGGGGAATTATGAGGTGTGTGAAAGGACAGGAGATGGCACCACTTTAGCCACCTGAGGAAGCATAACTTGAGATTACATGCTCGGGAAAACCGCCACATTGTAAAGGGGCAAGGGAGCTCTGACAAAGCGTCAAAATGTCTATTTTTGGACATCATTAAGAGAACAACAATAAGCAACCTCCACCCAAGGCCAGTTTACCACACAGGACTCCCCTCCAGAGCCAGTTCCAAGAAGGGGCTCACTATCCTGCAGCCYCGATGCTGCCRGAATCTGCAATCAGCCCTTAACCAGAAAGGGAGTGCCCTTCTCCAAAGTCCTGCRTTTCTATACAACTCTCCAACCTTCAAGAGATGTACTCTCATCTCTGGGCATGATACCCCCAGAAACGTTTATGGCATAGGGAAAGGTGGTTGTAGACAGATGGGGGTTAGGTCTCTTTCTCCAGGCAACAATTGGCMRAATGAGAGGACACAGTCTCAAGYTGCACCAAGGGAAGAATAGGTTGGATGTTAGAAAAAAGTTCTTCACAGAAAGAGTGWTAAAGCATTGGAATGRGCTGCCCAGGGAGGTGGTGGAGTCACCRTTCCYGGATGTGTTTAAAAAGAGATTGGATGTKGCACTTGGYGCCTGGTTYAGTTGAGGTGCTACGGCATGGGTTGGACTCGAAGATCTTGAAGGTCTCTTCCAACCCTAATGATTCTGTGATTCTGTGAGCTGAMTGACTACCGTTACAGAATGTGGCCATAGGTACAAACTGGTGCTGAACAGGTGTAGGCTGCAAATCAGAAGAAAATTTCTAGTACTSAGACTAGTGAGGAGGGGGAATAACCTGTCAGAAAAAATAATAAAGGCAAAAATCTAATTACTTTTAAGTTAGAGCACAGTTGTGAAAAGAATATAAAACATCGGGGTCTCGGAAGTTTTTTTCTCCTTACATCCTTCAATGAATGGTTAGAAAAGCACATGAAACTTTCTRTAATACTGCCTTAACGGAGTTACAGGAACGGTGCAAAGAGCTAAGCAGTGACAGAAGAAAAAGAAAAGCAACACAATGCAAACTTGTGCCTTTCAAAATCTGAAGCCAGCGCACGGAATGATGCAGTTCAGGCTTCCAGAGTACATGAAAACAGCCTCTTGTCTATCACAGACCACCACACCTGCATTGTATGGCTTTGGCAGTTCCTAGCCTCTATCTCTCATGGCTTTTACCACTGAACACAAATGCATTTAGGGACGGGAACAGCCCCTCAGGTCACCCCGAGGGTCGCTCGGGCGGCCCCCCCGCTCCGCGGGCAGCGCGGGCGCGCCGGGGCGGCGGCACCGGGACTCGAACCCGGGGCCA